CACACACGTGTACAAGATCAACACACTGCACGTTATATATACTCAGAGTCAAAATAATCCTCTTCATTTTCGCCACTTTCCAAAATTGACCCACAAAAGGCCAAAAAAATAACCTCGGTTGAAAAATGGAAACCTCCAGCGGTTCCGGCGGCGTCTCAGACGGCGCATACGAGCTGCTGCCGCCGCTTTACTTCACTTTCACACTCATTTGGGCTCTCTCCGCCGCTTCCTGGACCTTCAACACTTGCATGAACGCCCATTTTCAGGTCATTTCAATTTTATTTTTTTAATTGCTAATTATTTTTTTTAATTAGAACTTAATTGCATAAAACTACAATTTGTTTTTGTTTTATATGTAAATCCAATATGTTTCCCATTATTTTCAGCAGCCCAATAAACTGCAATGGATGCTTGCCTCTGTGCCCTGGATCAAAGTTCTTCAACTCTCATTATCTTTCCTCTTTTGGTACTTCATATTCCCATTTATGATTATTAATCTACAATATCTAATAAACTTCGATGAGTAGGTGCCCTAATGGTTAGACAGTCATACTCTTGCAATAAATATATATATTTCCATACTCAAATGTCATAATTTAAACTTATAATACAAATAAAAGTACGACATTTCATAATATAACTATGCATTTTCTGTACAAAAGTATGGTTATCTAACGGTTAGGCAACCTAACAGCAACAACATCTATGGATTGCCTAATCGTGAGGTCTGCCTAAAATGGCCTTATTGATTCCCAAATGAATATTGTGAGAACAATATATGCTTCTAATTGTTTGATCCTTTTCTTGTTTTCAGGTATTCCTATTTTTATTCAAATATGTGCTCTTTATGGGTGTCTTTTGGGGTGTACATAATGGGAATAGTATTTAAAACATCTGCATTTGTGTCGTTTTTCCTCATTTCCCACGGTTATTGCATCACGTGCCATCGACTCTCATTGTCCGAACGTCGAACTATGGCCATTCAATCATGTGTCTTCTACATGACTCTCGTTGGCTACAGAGCTTCTGTACCGTATTTTTCCGTGAGTATTTCTATTTTTAATTTTTTTTTTCCTTTAATTTAGTGTAATGATCTTAGATTTTGGGCTTCTAAACTATAAAGTAAGTGCTACACAAGATCTCTTGGGGAATGTGTGCTAAAATTAAGCAATTTATTGTGTAGAAAATTTTTTCCAGAGATAAAATTTGGGAAGTATAACATAAGTTGTGAAAGTCGTGAAATTTGAAATTTCGTTATATAAAAAAGAAGTCCTTTACTTGTTTTTTGGCAGGGGCTTTTGTTGGTCAATTACCTCATCGTGTTCTACGTGATATTCAACCACATATCACGAAATCTAAATGTTTTACGCGACCAATTGAGCTTCATAGAAGATGAGAGTGTCCACGCAATGCATGATGCCGTTTATACGAAATACATCATGTTCAAGTATGTGCACTCTTAGTTTCTTGATAAATGCACTCAAGTAAGAAAAATCGAGGATGTATTGAATTTTTGTGTTTGCTCAGGAAATTTCGAGGTGCAATGAATGTTGTGGCTGTCTCAGAACTTGCAGTATGGACGTGTTAAAAAGCTAGAAATATTTGGTGTAATTGGAATCTTGTTTCATTATTTAAAACCGCGTTTTTTTTTTTTTGGTTTTTCAGGTGTTCATAAGCATGGATAATTCGTTGGAAAATTATTGGGTTCGTCTGTTGATTCGTGAGTGGGCTCAGTTCTTTATCTTCTTGTACATTGGGTTAGTAATTATAAGTTATCAATTATCATTCCACAATATTATATACATTTATATATATGATTTTTGGATTTTGTAGTCTAATGATGATGATCACTCGCTTTTTCATTTTCCCCATTTTTTTTTCTTTCAAAATTAAAGATGGATTTTCAGGTGTCAAGAATTGGCGCCTCTTTTTTCGCTTATGCCTACATTGAGTTCTTTGGACTTTAATTTGTGTTGTGTGTCTCTTTCTATACGCAGTCATTGAAAATGGATATTTTGAAGTTTGGCTTAACGTTAAAAAAAAGAGTGAATTTTGATATCTTTGGTCAGTTTGTATTTTCTTAATTTAACAAACACCCCCTAATCAGTGTGAAAATAAATTATGATTAATTTTGATACCGATCGAGTATTTGTACTGCAGGAAATGGATGCGGAGTCTTTCAAAGATTTTAGAAGTCATGAATGGCACATTGGTGTGGTAAGTGACAAAAGTGTACTTCGGCTTTTGGGTTTGCAAATTATGAATGCCTTAGGGTTATGTGATTTTCATTACCAGTGCAATAATCGGTTCTTTTCTGTTAAAGCTGGATAAATGACTCTTGAGGTACTCTTTAAGAAAGTAACTAAAGATGATAGCAATGTTGGTCTTCTTTTTATATTTTGTAGCCAACTTTACCACACAAGGAAAGTTTGAAGGACTCGGTTGTGGTTGTGATCCGGCACCCGAATGCATACAGCTTATCATCGATTGGCTCGTGAATTTTTAATATTAGCGGCTATACTGTACAGTTTTAGCTTGATGAGTTTTGGTTAATGATTTGATTTCTCTGGTTTTGTTGAAGCCTGTTTTAACACAATGGTGTTGTTCAAGAAAGTGATGGAAATTGTATATTCTTCCTTTTTACTATGATGTTTTTGCAGTTCTTCAATTTCTGTACAGACAAACATGAAAAAGGATAGAAGAAATGCAAGGGAAGAAGAAATTAATTAAAATCAACCACACAATTTTCCTTCATATATTACTTTATTATTAGTTTTATTTAAATTTACATCTTTTTTCACCACAACAAGCGGTGTAGATGGGCAGACCTCGAGCTTGAACTTTTATCAAGTTGAGTCGAGTCTTGCAGGTTAATTAAACAAGGTCGATTTATTTTTATTTTTTTTATTATTAATATTAGCTAAACTGAGAGTTCGGGAAGATATGTAAAAATCCTTAACTTTTTATCCTAACGAACCTTAACTAGTCGGGTTGGAGGGCTTGTTAGCTAAACAAGCTTTAAATGGGTTTGACCTCATATTATTTTATAAACGAGTCAATTCGAGTCGAGGCGAGTTCAGTTTACGAGTGGCTCGTTTTGTATAACATTTCTACCACAAGTCTTTGTTTTGCGACATTTGGGCTACTTTTGATGGATATTTAGCCCACTAGCGTGGTCTCCACCTGGGCCTTAGCCTCTTCCAAAACTGGGCCTCGTCGGAAAGCCCTGCTGAGTGATGCTTCGACTGAAGAAAGGAAGAAAAAAAAAAAGAAATAAAGGAAAAATACAGATACAAAATGCTGTGCAGTGCCTTCTGCGAGCTTCGGCCGAGGAAGACGAGCCAGAGTTTTTGACCGATGAGTGCAGGTACGTATTGCGTTTCTTATGTTAAATCGGGGCTTGAATTTATGTATTTCCTTCTTAGTTATTGTCAGTGTGAGTTTAGGGTTTTGTTGTGTGACAGATTTTTCTAGTGAAGTTTGATTCAATATTAGAATAATCGGAGACATTACTGGAGTTACTATCGAACTCTTCAGGACCCAGATAATTTGATTTTCTGGTTGCTCTCTCTCTCTCTCTCTCTCTCTGTGGTTCACTGAAAATATTGTTTCTTGAGCTTTAGATTGTTGGTTTTGTGCGCATAGGTAGGATGTGATTCATCTTTCAGTTTTGCAGTTAGAACAAATCTTAGTTGACCCAATGTATGCCAAAGATTGAAACTTTATGCAGAATCTTGGGATAAATCGAAAGATTGCACTGAAATGATGGATATAAGTCTAGATTGTGGTGTTCTGTCAATGGTTTTGTAAGTGCAAATGGATAACTAACTTGAGATGCTACGAACATCTATTTAGTCTAGTTAATAGCCTGGCTACAAAGTGTATTCCAAATCATTATTGGAGTTATTATTGTTGTTGTTTACCTTTTACCTTCAAACCCTATAGGAGGAGCATTTGGTGGAAATCGAGGCACAAGACCTGTGCCGCCCGAAAAAGGAGTTTTCCCATTGGATCATATGCATCTGTGTGACTTGGTAAATTCACGTGAAAAAACAGATCTTTACTAGTGTGAATGTTTAGAACATTACAAAGATATTAGCACTAAGATTACCCAAATATTTTAGCCTGATTGGGAAATATCAAGCTATCTTTTGAGGTTTGTTCATAGTCATACCCATTAAATATAAGGTCATTGTGTAAACAAGCATGTTGAGGTGGATTTGTAGTTTGGATAGATAATATTTCTGAACTCTGTAGAAGCTCTATTAATATTCTATACTTGTATGGGTTTCTTTTGCTCAGCTGGTGAGGTTTGGTTTTGCTGCAGGAGAAGAAGGACTACATAAATTGTCTGAAATCCGAGAGCCATAAATCAGAAAAATGCAGACAGTTTTCCAAGAAGTACCTCGAATGCCGTATGGAAAAGTGAGTTCATCAATCATTTACTTTGCTGGTTGTTTTAAGCATATGAGTTACTGGACTTGTTATTTTTTCATGAGTAGTTGTGCTTTTTTTCTGATTCATATTACGGCTAGCTGGGACTTGGGATTTAACGCACTTGAATGTTTATAAATGAGATGAGGGTTCTTGATGAATTTTTGTTACGGTTAATGGCGGAACTATACATAAGGTTTTTGGATTAGTTGCAAAATAAACCCTGATATCCTCTGACATTACAAACTGCAAGAGCATCCTTCAACACTATTGAGGGAGCATTTGAAAGTACGAAAGATATATATATTTTCGGCTCTTTAAATACGAAAATATATATATATATATATATATATATATATATATTCGGCTCTTTAAATAATTCTTAACTTGAAGTTGGTTTCTGTATATAATCCTTCAACACTTCTGGGTTTTTTTGCAGGAACCTGATGGCAAGGCAAGATATGTCAGAACTTGGATTTAGAGAGGTATAGGGAATTATTGGAAATTTGGAATTGCAAGCTTTTGCATATGAAATGTCAATGTGAAGAATCAATAAATTATTATTATTATCGTTATTTTATATCACATTGATAAATCAGGCATCTACTGGCCGAATGGATTTATATTTTTCTCTGTATTCTTGTTTTGACAAATCAGGGATTGAATACGCCCAGATTTCCTAATAAGTCTCTTTGTTACACCAAAATTTTAACATTTTGTCTCTGTGAACAGAATAAAGGGACTTTGGGTTCATGAGAATGTACATTTGAATGACACACTCCTTCCCTAGTGAAAAAAACTGTACATAAAATGTTGTAATGACACAATATTTAACAATCAATTGATCATGGATTATGTCTATATATCTTTTTAAGTTATATCAATTGACTCTGAGTATGTTGATGATGTACACATGTATAAACCGAACATAGTTGAATGGTGATGTCTAATGTGGAAACAAATAAAATTTTCATATAAAGAATAACATAGAGAATAATTCAGAGTGCGTTATACAAACTATAACATTATACTAAATGATTTTATTACGTACCAAGTATATGCTATACAACAGAAAATAATTAATGTATAATCTCTATTATTATAATATAACTTCATCAACTTACTGGTAAAAAGTATGATGTCATCAAACTAAAACATGAAGTTCTAAAAAAACAACATAAATAAAGCATGACATTTCATACCATAAATGTGTATAAAATATGACTTTTTTTTTAATTAAATAAAAAAAAAAAAAAAAAAAAAAAAAAGGTGTGATGTTATCAAGCTAAACTAATACAGCGTGGTTACTTTTTATCAATTATGAGCCCAAATATACCAAACTAGACCCAAACAATACATATATAAGTCGGCCCATTAATACTTGCGCGTAAATTCATCATCCTCACACGGTCGTGTCTCCCCAGTCGCCTCCATCCTCAACCTCAAGCATCTATTTCAACTGTAGGGATAAGATTAAGCTTCACTACTGTCAATCCTTATTTTTTTTACGGCCAATTGAAGAATGTTCGAAGCACTCCCCAAGGTACAGATCTGGCGCGCCCTATTTTTTGCTCTCCTTTTTATATCCAATTGATGTCTAGATTCTCATGTCAAATCGAGCTCAGTATGGATTTTGTTTTTCTCACATGTGAGGAACCAAGAAGCTGATGGGTTCTACAATTGAATGATTGGGTAGAAAAGCAATTTGAGAAATGAAATAAAATTAATGTATTAATGTTAAAAGAACAATCTTTGATTATAGGTTGACTAGCTAAGGAAGGGGACTGGATGAAGATGATATCTTCTTCTGTCATATCCAATCGGGGAATTTCAAGATCCTGTTTAAGGCAATTAATCAAATATTGCACCAGTTTAACGTTTGAGGTCATTAAAGATATCTAATTCTAAGCAGGTTTCTTTTTTTTTTTTTTTTTGNTTTGGTATTATTGTTTTTAGATCACCATCTACCAAGGAAACTAATAAATCAACAGAACTCCAAAAGCAGTGGATGTAAGTAAGCACTCCACCTTTTAGTAATTTGATTATACTTAAATTTTGATTGAAATATAAAAGCTTACGGCTTAACTTACAAGTCTATTTTTTTATAGTTACTACAGTAATTTCATATTCTCTTACACTACTCAGAACATAACAATCTATTTTGTGTAAAGAAAAATTTAAACATTAATAGTAGCTATTAGCAATGTTAAGTCTGCAGTTCTTATTGTAGAACTGAAGTTGTAAATAATCCAAAATCGCAAATAACTATCTGATTATTTAACTTCAAAGAATGGATAGCCTAAATTTTAGATTAAAAACAAGAGCGGGCGTTCGTAATGTACTGATATATTGTTGTACTATTAACCTTTTGCCGCTTGCCTCCAATGACTATTGATTTAATTATCATCACGTTCTTCCAAAAGGGAATTCCTTTACATACTTTTTTTTCCTTTAAAGAGGAGTCAACTAATAAGAGATTTGTCATCTTCAAACTATACTGAAACACGTTCAAGCAAATTTGTATTTAAGAACAGATTGGTAGTAAAGATAATGTTCTGAGAATTACCCAAAAAATTTTGAGCAACATTGTTCATAGACGGTCATACTTTTTGAACATCCATCTTACTACATGTGTATTTTTCTTTCACTTTTGCAGTCTCGTATATTGTAACATGATTTTATATCCTTGGTTGGTGACTCTGTGTACTGTGTTATAATTTTATTGTTTTTACCCTTTTCTGGTTAGGCATCAACACTCTGCTGGAAGAAGTTCGAAGATAATTTATATGAATAGTTTCTAAATACTTTTAAGCTTATCAGTAATGGATGACGAGAAAGGCCTTGATCTGAGCTTGGGTTTGCCTTGTGGTGGAAATAGTTCTTCGCAGAAGAGTAAATATGGCAGCTCCTCAGATATCAAGTCAGATGAAGGTGATAGAGGTAGCAAATTAATCAACGAGTTCAAAAACTTTCTAGAAGGTGGTAATAACCAACAGCATTCGATAAAGGTTGGGGAGAATTTCTACAATAGCTTTGGTAAATCTGCTGCCGATTTAGAAACTTCTAAAAATTCAAATACTGGAGGAGGAGGAATATGGTTGACAAACGATAGCAGGTCAACTGAATTTGTCGAAGATAAGAGATCAAGCGTTGGTGAAAAGCGTAAACACTTGTTTATCGAGACGAACCAAGAAAAGAAGCATGAGAGAGATGCTGCTAGCCATGTTGATTTGACTGATAAAACCAAAACATCACATATTTCCATAACCACAGACGAGGGATCAACTGCAGACAATGAAGACGTAGCAGAATCTGAAGTCGATGGCTCGACTTCCAGGCATGTTCCAAGTGGCAGCTCGGAAAAGAATTTTAATGTGATGAATATGCCTATGGCCTACAGTACTGTTCCTCTCCGAGGACAACCAGTAAACATGAACACGAACACGTTAAGCTCTCAACCGATGAAAGACTCGAATACTAGTGGTACTACTCCTGGTAATTTCCCGTTAATGTTTGGGTACAATCCTGTTCAGCTACCATCTCTGGATAGGGATAATTCTAAGGGCAATCTTTCTCATCACCAAGAAATGCACCACCCGACTTATTCCGGAAGGAACTCACTCAATCACGACACACAGAATAATGACAGCCGAAAGATCACCCAAGGTTTTTTTTTCCTTTCTTTATAATTTTTTCTATATTGGGTTTTGTTTCAGGAAGATTACGGTTATAGGTGTTTGCCGAACAATATACTTAGCCTCGTTTTCACACTTTTATCCGCCAACTTATAGGTGTTTACTAACCATGATAGGATTGGATAGTAAGCTGAAGTGTTGTGTGGGCCCCACACTTTTATCCTGTCTAGGCGGATTATTTTGTCCAGACTTGAGGGTGGGACAATTTAATCCCACCTTAGAAATGACCGTTTTGTCCAAAAATTGACGTGAAAAATTGTCCTGTGGATCCCACACTTTTACTTCATATTTTGCTTTTTATCCTTTTTATCTCGTCTTTTTTTGTTTGTGCCCTAAAATGCATCATGTTTGGTAAAACATTAGACACAAGCTGACGTGTAAAGTTGATGGGATTAAACTGTCCAATCTCATCATTTTTTTAAGTAAAAAGGGCCTTATTGAATGTGTTTTCAAGAAGATGAGGGGTTTTGCAGGGATTTCGCATAAGGAAACTGAATCTACTACTCCATCTTCTCACACAGAAGGAGAAGAAGTGAAAGGGTATAATCAGCTGAAAAAAGATGCACCAGATCAGGCTAGAGCAGCAGCAGCAGAGCTGATTCCGGGTGAATTTCCGGCCATAAGGCCCGGTATTGCAGGGGAAGTGAAATTCGGAGGTTGTGGGTCCTACCCAAACTTGCCATGGGTTTCTACTACGGGCCAAGGCCCGAATGGGAGGACAATATCTGGGGTGACATACAGGTTTAGCCCGACCCAGATAAGGATTGTGTGTGCTTGCCATGGTTCTCATATGTCTCCTGAAGAATTTGTTCGCCATGCGTCTGCTGAAGAAAGCCAGGCTCCAGATGCTTTGACATCTTTGCCGAGTAGCAACCCTGCAGCCTCGGCTCAAAGTTGATTTTCACTTTCTGATATATTGATTTCTCTTCTCCTTTNGCCACTGCATTTATGAAAAAATCAAAACCATTGCTCACCTGCTTAAAGATATTGGCTACTGGTTCTAAGCCTCTTGGGTATTTTAGAAAAGAGCCTATACATCCTCGACAAATCCTCTACCTAACGCATAAATAATTAATAAAGTTTAGATTTATGAAAAAAAAAAAAAAAAAAAAAAAAAAAGAAGAAGTCCCTTCTGAACAGTTGAAAAAGATCAGATCTGATCCAACTTTTGTTTGAGGAGTGCAAGCTTATTCCATGCGACGATTTCATGCTTGAGGATTGCAAACTTATTCCATCAGTTACTATGGAGGATGCTCTTTACTCTTGCTTTTGTTTTTGTTAATGAATTTACTCAAAGTAGTATTAGTCTAAATTATATTCAAGTGTGTATATATTTATTACCAAATAAATATCACAAGCTGGAGTAGCTCAGTTGGTTAGAGCGTGTGGCTGTTAACCACAAGGTCGAAGGTTCAAGCCCTTCCTCTAGCGATTTTTATATGCCCATCCAAAACATAGTGTTTAACTGTTTATCACCATTTTCCCCCCTTTTCCTTTAAATTTTTAAATTCAAAAGAAACGCAGGATTTTTTACACAGACTGCACAACTGTCCAAGAATGAGTCACTCACTTTTTTTCCCTAACACATAACTTGTAATTTTCATTCGTGAAGGTGAAAATTTTCCAAACGTCCCTTTAAATTTTTAAATTTCCAAAAGAAACAGAGAATATTTTTTTACACATATTGCACAACTATCCAAGTTTTGAGTCGCCCATTTTTTATTTTTCATTTTTTCCTAACACATGACTTGTAATTTTCATTCATGAAGTAGAATAAGAAGATCCGTTGTCGATTTTGCAGTCGTTCACTTAAAGTTTTTTTTCCTATAAGATTGTATCCAACGCGTTATATCGAATAGTATATTTGAAACATCGCGTGGAATAGAAAATGAAATAGGATTAATTAAGTTCCTAATGAATAAGGATTATTATTACTTTTTTTCTGTTTCATAATCGGTTTTGCTGTCGGACAGGACACCAGACGTAGGGGTGATTAAGTTATGGTGATTAAGATTATTAAACATTAGCTTGTTTAGATTTTACATAATGTTATTTACTAATTAACCGGGTCATTAGTGGTACTAGTACAAATCCGTGCGATGCACGAGTATGAGATATTTAATAATACTTATAAATTAAAAAATTTTATTAAATAATATTTATAAATTAAAAATATAGAATCAATATGTAATAAGTTTACCTATATTAATGTATTGAATTGTTATATAAAATTTAAGATTGTGTAAAATTACATAAAAATGTCTATTGAAAATTAATATACAATCCGTTTCCAAATTACATAATAAATTATATTATATTCAATTCAAAATAGGTGTCATTTCAAAATTTTTATTCAAAAATTCGGTTTGACTATAATGTAATTTCATAAAATACTTATTTTTGTAAAAAATTTTATCATACATTTATAACCTATGTGAATAATAATTATAAATATAAAACTTATATTGTTTCATTAATTAAAATGATTTAACATTGACCCGTAAGTTATGAATAATTATTTATTTAGTTTTTAATTTTAAATAAAAATCTTTTTTTTTGTCAATATATTATATACCAAATTTAAACTATGCAATTAATAAAGGTAATAGCCTTAATATTTGGCAAAATTTTAGTTTCTATTTCAAGTAAATACAAACGTTTATATAATATATTTAGATTTATTTTTTAAAATAAACTTTTAATTAATTGTGGATTTTATATTATCATTTTTTATCCAACAAATCTGATATANATTGGATGCAAAGAAATTTTATAAATCTGGATAACATATCTTTTATTTGTTAAACGAAATCCTACGTTTTTTTATGTGTTTATTTAAAGTAAACTTTTAATTAATTATGGAGTTTATATTTGCAGATTTGATTAACATTAAAAGCATTGAATCGATCGGCAGATAAAAAGATTTGAGGGGAACTCGTGTGATGATAAGGCTGGACAGAGACTTCTATGATTGATGTACTGATATTGTATTTTAAGAAAGTGTTTAATGCAAGACTAATTATTTTATTTATGAGTTGATATTTGTTTGTACGGAATATTCATCCATCTATTTTCATAGCTAAAATGAATGATTCCAAAATAAATTTAGCACTCATAAATGGAATCTTTTTCATAACAAAAAATGCCACCCACTATATACGAAAAAAGGATTCATTAACTTTGCTAATAAAATATCATAAATTCATTAATTTATTTCCAAATTTATTAATTAAGATTTTTTTTGCGGGAAATAGTTCCTATTTAAAAAATAATCAAACCTTTATATATATATATATATATATATATATATATATATATATAGAAAGGATCATATGAGAATGACTCTTAATGCGAGAAAATGAGAATGAGTCTGAATCATTAGATCCAACATATCAATGATTATGATGAAGTCAAACTATAGTCAATCATTAATGGCAATTTAGTAATTATTTGATCATAGTGTAGTCAAATATGTGTATTTGACCAATAAATAAGGGTAAGTTGGTCAATATACATAATAGTGGGACCCACACACCAATTAACCCCTTCCACTTTTTTCTCTCTCCTCATTTTCTTTCTTCCTCACGATAAATCAGATCTCAAATCTGAAACACACACACATACACGCACAAACACACACTGCACACACACACACTTCCCGCTCACCATCGGGCAAACGGTCGGCCCACCAGATTCGCCGCCCGTCGTCGGCTGCCGTCAGGCGACGATGCCACCACAGTATCCCTCTCTCTCCAGAATTCCGGCGGTCACTGCTACGCACCCCCGCCGCCGCGCCTCCACAGTCTCCTCCTCTTCAGAAATTCGGTGGTCACGGCTACGCAGCCCCGCCGTCGCGCCTCCCCAACCAGTCCGACGCGCCTCCTCAGCCCGTCCGACGCGCCTCCTCAGCCCGTCCGACGCGCCTCCTCAGCCCGTCTGATGCGCCTCCCCATCCCGGTCGCAGAGCATCCACATCCACCTCTGTTGCGCCACTGTCGCTCGCCATCGGAGATGTGCTACGTCATGAAGTCTCCGGCAGAAACCACGAAGTCGTCCTGAAGCTGCGATGGTTATGGCCGTCGTCGGCAAGATGATGATGGTCGTCGGCCAGGCGTTTCTTGGATGTTGACCGCGAGATCTGAGGTGGCGACGGTGATCGGAAGCGACGGCCAACGCGGTGGCCGGAAGTGATGTCTGTGAAAGATTACCTGGATTGAAAGAGATGTGATTTTTAGATCTGGAAATTGATGTGTAACCTTCTTTAGAAAATTGGATATAGTTTATGGACCATTTTGCAATTTTTAAAAAAATATTACTTATAAATCAAATCAATTCATATTTAATAAATATATAATTAAATAAAAATCTAATAAATGTATAACTTGACAAATATTTGTACAATATTGTGGTAATAAATTTATAACTTGAATAATAATAATAATAATTGAACCAAAATATACAAGTTCGTACTGAATTCTATTCCTTGGATCGCGTTCGATTTCGTGCAACTTGGTAAACATTTATGTGCAATTCGTAAAACTCTAATGTGCAATCGCAATACATAAAAAAATATAGATAAAAAAATAATATTTTTTTCACAAAAAAATATAAATAAAAAAATATTTTTAATATAATTTGGAGTGTTCGGTTATTTTGTTTATATAAGAAAAATAAAACCGACATTTAATAAATTAATATTATTCTATCGATTAGCAATATTATTGTATTTTTTCTACGCGCAGCGTGCCGCTTATAAAGTGCAACATGTTGTGTTATAAGGTGCAACATATTGTTGTACAAAGTGCAACGTAATATAAAGTGTAATACTGAATATTTCGTACATTAGCATGTTTGTGTTTTTTGTGGATAAATTTTGAACCAACACATTTAGTTCGTTCGATTTTCGGTTGCTATAGTGCAATATGGAAACCAATAATGTGTAATTCGTCAAACATTAATGTGCACTCAAGATGCAATTATATTTCAATAATTTGTCTTAAACCCTCTTCAATCATCATGTTAGTAATTTTGTGTTTTTAATATTATTTTTTGGTTAACATAATATAATATATATGTGTATAAAACAATAAATAAAAAATAATATTTTTCTATATAAAAATAATCAATTTATTCACAATATATAAAAAATAATATTTTTGTATATAAAAAACAATTGATTTATTCATTGGTAAACCTAATTAACCTAAATATACAAAATAATTTATAATTTACGGTTAAAAAACTAAGTTTAGTAATTTAATACTTTTTGTATTATAATATAGATAATAAATCATTTATATTATTTAGATAATACGATTAATCGATCGAATTAATCTGAATAATAATATTATACATATTGCACATTAATATATATCATATTGCACAATATCTCACTATCGATTTTCGATCGACTTTTTTACTTTCTAAACTTCGATTATTTTGGTTCGATGTTAGCTTTATTTAAAATATTTATATTAGTTTTTTATTGTATATAAATACCAAATTAACGATGTGCATTTCCTAAACGGTGTCGGTATGTATTGTGCATATTGAACCAAACGATTTTTTTTTTCTAAACAAATTGAAGTTGAACGTGATAAATCAGTTTATTCGGTTTGATTAATCGAATTGTCCTAAATAATCGAAAGATTTTTTTTAATTATATTACGAATATATTTAATATGTTATAATTTAATTTATTACTTTTATATTATTTTGATTAACAATTAAAAATAAAAATAAAATTTAAGTCAGTCAATTTTGATATCTGTTGTGCGATCCGATAGTCGCGATAAAGTGCATCGCCTTGTTTTATAAACTGCAACGTGATGTTTTACAAAGTTCATTCCGTTGATATATAAAGTGACATACTTTAATTTTGTAACATTATAATGTTTGTGTTTTTTTGTGGACAGATGATTTGATAGATGTTAAAGCATTATGTAGATCGATTTTTTTATTTTTTTTACTGTTTTGTGGTATTTCGACGAGCTATTGGCATTAATTGTAGAGCGTGGTGATAGAGTGCAACGATTTATTTTATATAGTGCAACATTTTGTGTTATAAAGTGCATCGCACTGATATATAAAGTGCACTACTTATATGACCACATATAAATTATGTGTTTTTTAAATATGTGTTTTTTAAAACTAAATTTATCAAATAAAATTGTACATCAAATTAATCTAAATAATTAAAATAATTTATTATTTTTTATTATAAAAGTGTACTTATTATTTAACTATCAATATCAATAAATTTTTTTATTTTACAAACAAGTCCCTTGAAGTTATCTAATTTACAAAAATGGCCCAAACCTAATTTCATAATTTTCCCCAATCTTTGATTTCTGAAAAACGGTGTTGTTATCGACCTCAGCGGTCGGCGTCGGCGCCGGCATCGAGATGGGCGGAGACAGCAGGGAAGGCAAAGATGGTAGCCTCGCCGGACATCAACGAGCTGGATTTGGAAGGCGGCGGCAGCGGATTTTGGACGAGGCGGCTGAGGAAGATATGGTAACGGCCGGGGGATTCCGACGGCGACCATGGGTGGCGCCGACGAGCAGTGGGTCACGCCGTCATTTCAGATGACGCGATGGTCGAGCTCCTGTTAGGCTCCATAAACGTCGGCGTCTCTGCTCGATCTGGCCCTGCACTCCCTAGCGGCGAAGACGGTGGCGGGTTTAGTGGCTGCGGACGTCGGTCAGGCACGGTGCCGGCCGGAGGCGAGGCGACGGGGCTGTCATAGATTTGCGGCGAAATTACTGTGTGTGTGTGTGTGTGTGACGGCGGTGACGGAGGACATAACTTCGGCGATGAACGGAATGATTGATTAGATGACGGTGGCAGCGGCATCATCCGGGCGCTGCCGGAAACTTTTACAGCGGGGATCGGCGGGTGATTGAGGAGAGAGATGGGGGATGGGGGAAGAGAAAGTCACCTGCATCTAATTTACCGTGGGGAGAGATAGTGGGTGGGTGGGGTAGGTGGTGGGCCCAGGTAGTGTAGATGAAAGACCAAATATCAATTGTACCCTGCTAGTGTAAAGTCATTATTTATTTTGGGACGTTGGATTTGTGAGATCTTGTGGCTAGGATGTATTCTTATTTCTTTCATTAAGCACCATTCTCACCGGAGCGCGACCCTATATAGATATATATATATATATATATATATAGGGAGTGGTTCAAATAAAAACTAGTCCTGGTGTAGGAACCGTGAGAACCAAATTTGATGCTATTTTTTATTATGTATGATGCTATTTTTAATATCACATGGTGCTATCATTTTCACAAATGCTATTATAAATTGTGTTGCTATTTTTAAGAAAATAAATCCATGTTAAAAATAGCATTAAAACACAATAAATCATAGCACTACTTGCAACTATAAATAGCGGTTCTCACGGGAATTGGTTTTCATTTGAACCACATCCTATATATATATATATAGATAGATTAATTTATGTATGCATTTTAAGATTTTTCAAAAGTTTTAGGTCGGGATTCCTTTTCTATTTTTTTTTTTCAAATAATGATGTGGGACTCTAAAAAACTATCAAATGTGTTGGGCTAGTCCCATGATTAATATATCCATACCTGGTGGGATTTAACAAATTTAATACAAGTGCTATTTTTATTAATTGAAAAAATCTACATAATTTTTTATTATGTCAACCATATAACGCGTGAATATGACAGATCTTATTATTATTATTATTATTGTTTTTTTTTTTGTTTAAATTCATTTGTAACATTTTAAGTATCAAATATAATTGAAAGTTGTCGAGAATCAATATTAATATTTTAATATTTTTTTGACTCCGCAATTAATTGTTTAATGAAAGAATATTTTATTTGGTTTTATCATGTTATGAAACTTGACTTAAAAAAATCAGGTAAATATATGGGATTTTTTTTCAATTTGCGATATACATAGTTGGACACTAACAAAATTAATATGCATGTCGATTTATTAAAATAATGTTCGGCTTACTCAAACTACATAAGATTTTAATTAAATTAAAATGTTAATATTTAATGGTTTGAAATGCAATATTTTTTGTTAATTTATTTATTCAACAAAAAATATTTGGGAGTGTATAAAAAAATGGTCATATTTTCCAAATGTTAAAAGTGAATTTTTTTTAATATTAAATTAAGATTTATTATTCACCAAAAATATTTAGGAGTGTCCAAAAAAAACTGATTTGTTTCAATATTAACAAACCTAATCTGTAATGTTTTAAAGTTGATTTGTTCATCAAATTTTCGAAAATTTTGAACGGCAACTGAAAAAATCAAGCTATCCAATAAGGGATGGCGCACAGGCCAGGGGCACAAGTCATACAAAACTTTTCAAATTTGCCAAAAAAATCATTCTATCCAATAAGGTGGCATTTGCAAAAAAATCAAAAAAAGTTGCTTCTTTTAGTTATTTTTTAGTTATTATTTTAGGATTATTTAGGTTGTCTCTTTATATATTAATAGATTAGTCTTTATTTCTAATTCCTAGTTTATGTGTCATCTTTTCAATGTTGGTATTTTGAGTATCCTTTGTTAGTCACAACCCAAATCATAAAAAGATAAATGGGGTCATATTGCAATTCTCATAATGTTCACGAACCTTTCCATAAAGCAAACCTTTCCACCAGTAAATAGATATAAAACCAACCAAATTAGCAAACAAAGGAGGTAAATTGAAAGAAAAAAGGAAGAAAAGAAAATAATTCCCCCTTCCTTTTATTACAAAAGAAAAAGGAGAGCACTAATCCAGAGTGAGATTTTGCACTTCGCACCACAAACAAATTGGAAATTACAGAATCACACACCAACAACAACAACAAAGACATTCATTCCCATTAAAACTCGCTAGCCAGCGGTTGGTGCTCGTGCTGCATGAAAACGTTGCTGTAGATGAGCCCAGCTAGCCCACCACCAATGAGCGGCCCAATCCAGTAGATCCAGTGGCCCGAGAAGTCACCGCTGGCAACAGCTGGGCCGAAAGAGCGGGCTGGGTTCATGGATCCACCTGAAAATGGGCCTGCGGCCAAGATGTTGGCGCCCACAATGAACCCAATAGCGATGGGCGCGATCGTGCCCAATGAGCCCTTCTTGGGATCAGCTGCGGTGGCGTACACGGTGTAGACCAGTGCGAATGTGATTATGATTTCCATCACAACTCCTTCGACGGCGCCGACGCCGGCACCAACGGCGTGGGTCGGAATCGCCTGAATAATTAAATATGTGAAATTAGAAAGATGCATTAGTTTGTTTACTTTGTATTCGTTTGTTTGTTAATTATTGAATCGACTTTAAAGAATTGACTAATTAAATTCAATAATTAACTAGTTTGGTAGAAAAACTTATTTATATAACTTTTTGGACAGAAAATACTGATTGCACAAACTCAAAATAACATAGTTTTGTAGAGGTGATAAAATGTAGTACAATGTAACATCTAATACACTAAATACTTATTTAACAAAATGCTAGTTAAATTCGTTGGTCAAATCCAAATTAAACAAACTAATGCCACTTTGTTTCCTTGTTAAAAATTAATAATGCATGTTAATTCACTAATAATAGTTTAATCGTTGCTTCCATATGTTAACTAGCTAGGGAAAACAAACGTCTTTATCAAAAGTCAAAATTGTTGCATTATTACTAAAAAAGAAAAACACTCAAGAATATTAAAACAACAAATACAGTCAAACTATAAATCATTTTCTTATTTATTTTTATTATTATTATTTTTTTTTTACTTCAAGTTTTATCTTGTTAACAATGATTAAAACTAATTGTAGAGTTACAACTATTAATCATTCAACCCAAATAGGCAAAACCATTTTTTTTTTCTTTTCAAAATAACAAATCATCAGAATTAATTTAAAAATAAAACCGTAAGAATAGGTCTTGGTAGTTACAAAAATAAATATTACGAGGTTAATAAGTAAACGGGTTTTTGACTTACCAATCCTCCGGTAACGAATTTGAGCAAGAAACTGCCGACGACGGCGCCCAGAAGCTGGGCAATCCAGTAGAATATTCCGGTGAGGATGGTGATTTGGCCGCCCACCGCCAGCCCAAAGGTGACGGCCGGGTTGACGTGGCCGCCGGAGATGTTGGCCCCAACGGAAACGGCCACAAACAGAGCAAAAGCGTGGCAAACGGCTATGGCCACCAGCCCCGGCGGGTTAAGGTCCCCATCGGAGGTCAACTTGTCTGCCGGAGACCAAAATTAATTGTTTAGTCAAAATAATTGAAAATTAATTTTATGGACGGAAGAATTTTTTTGCATGGCCATGATGACTTAAATTACTTCAAATACACATAGTAACAAAAATGATTGTCTCTCTATGTTTATTTCCTTTTTTTCACAAATATGTCAGCCTAATGGTTAGATCTACCTTACGCAAGACCTCTTGTTCAATTTTCTATCCTCTTTTCGTTCTTCTTTTTCTTTTTAAATCTATGTAATTTTGTAAATTAAAATATTGAATCAAAACATATACATTCACCACTACACACACATATCATGCCAAACATCATACAAAATTAATTACTATATATGATGAAATGAAAATGCAAAAAATATAAGTAAATAAATTAGATTAGTGTAAAATTAATTTATCTAATTAATAAGAGTGGTGTGATTATTAACTGAAGGCAATGGCTGAGCCAACGCCGGCGAAGACAAAAAGCAACGTGGAAATGAACTCGGCAATGTAAGCCTTCACCGAGGCCAGGCTGAACGAGTCATCAACCCTTCCGAAAGCAATTCCGGGCATTTTCGATCCAACGGTCGAAGATTAATCTAATCTTTCTTGATGAGAAAAAGGGAAACTGGAAAAAAATAAAAGACAGATGTAAGAAGCTAGGACAAGGAGATAATAAGCTTGTTTGTGCTTTGATGAGGTGCAAAAGGGCAACTTTCATTGTCATATATATATACTAAGAAATCCACAGGCTTTAATAATATTATTGTTGTTGATGTGGATTTTAACTTTAGTTTTGAATTAATTTTATTTTCAGGTTTGAGATACAATAAGATAGAGAGGAATTTGTGTGGACCTTGTCCTACGTGGAAAATTCTATCCTCTATGTAAGATGTAGCCTGGCATTTTGTTTATTTTATATATTGGAGTAGTAGTGTTGAATAATGGGAAATTTATATATAAAAAACAAAAAAAACACAACTGGACACAAATAAAAGTAAAAAAAAGAATCTGGACCAAAATGAAACATCCGTATTCTGAGAATACGTTTTCTTTACAAATTGTCATTGAAAAACGTATTCTCAGAATACGTGTTTCAATGAAAAACGTATTATACAAATACGTTTTTCAATGAAAATTATAAAAAAAACGTATTATCAGAATACGTGCTTTTTATTTATTGCCATAATTTTTTTTTTTATTTTGTTCTTGTCCACTTCATTTTTTCTTATTTTTTTAAGTAAAAAAATCGATGAATAATGACCTTATTTTGATGAATTATATTGATCCATTTTTTTTTTTTTTTCAAAATTTAAAGAGAGACATTATGGATGAATATTCCTTCAATTTAAATGTTGTTTCTAGATATCTCCAATTTATGATGTATAATAATGGTTATGTCATAAAACAACAGTGTAAGCGGGTTAATTTTTCCTCCTTATGCTTAACCTATATTAATCCCTCTCTAAAATAAACAGTAAATATTTAAATATTTCTACAAACTTAGACCAATCATGGTGGTGAAATTCGTATGGAAGC